GAGAACCCAGGAGTCCTGGCTCCCAGCCCCCCCTGCTCTAACCACCAGACCCCACTCCCCTCCCAGAGCCGGGGAGAGAACCCAGGAGTCCTGGCTCCCAGCCCCCCCTGCTCTAACCACCAGACCCCACTCCCCTCCCAGAGCCGGGGAGAGAACCCAGGAGTCCTGGCTCCCAGCCCCTCCTGCTCTAACCACTAGACCCCACTCCCCTCCCAGAGCTGGGGAGGGGGGCAGAGTGAGCCAGAGGGGGACCAGCTGGGAGCCCCAGGGCTGAGGGGAGAGGCTGGGGGGGCCCAGCACGGGGGGGAGGGATGGGCCCCCCAGGATGGGAGGGGCTGTTAGGGCCCATGGTGGGAGCTGGGGGGCTGGGTCCTGCAGGGTGGGGTCCCCAGCTCTCCCCTGGGGCGTCTCTGGCTGAATCGTTCCCATTTCCCCCAGACGCTGGAGCCCCGAGAGCCGGACGTGTATGAGGAGCTGAATTGACGCCCCCTCCTGCCCCTGGTGCATGCTGGAAGGGGCCCAGTGCATGCTGGGAAAGGCGCGTCTCTGAGCCTGGGTCCCGCCGCCACGTTAAAGGGCAGGAATGGTCACTGCCCGGCCCGGGGGGGTCCGTCTGTCCGTCTGTCTATGCTGCTTCCCTGGGGCCCATCACCGCAGCATTTGGGCTTCAGTCTCACCTCACTGGCTAACCACAAGTCACACAAGCAATTCCCTTAGACGCTCCAGTTTCCCAGTATCACCACCAGTGCCACTCGTTATTGGGACAAATGATTATGAAAACCAATACCCCAGTAAAAGAAAAAAGGTTCTCCCAAAGGACCAAGCCCCAGACCCAGGTCAACGTACAAATCAGATCTTACCCACAAATCACGCTGTTGCCAATCCCTTAGAATCTAAAATCTAAAGGTTTATTCATAAAAGGAAAAAGATCTGGATGAGAGCTAGAATTGGTTACATGGAATCAATGACATCCAGAAACGGCCAAGTTCTTGGTTCAGGCTTGTAGCAGCGATAGAATAAACTGCAGGTTCAAATCAAGTCTCTGGAACATCCCCAGCTGGGATGGGTCCTTCAGTCCTTTGTTCAGAGTTTCCGTTTGCAGCAAAGTTCCTCCAGAGGTCAGAAGCAGGATTGAAGACAAGATGGAGGGTTTCCAGGGCCTTTTATAGTCTCTGCCTGTGGAAGGACGCCCCTTTGTTCTTACTGTGGCAAATCCCAGCGGCAAGATGGAGTCTGGAGTCACATGGGCAAGTCACATGTCCGTGCACGACTCAGTTTACAGGCCGACGCCATTGTTTCCATGTTAGTTTGAAGGTTCCCAGGAAAGCTCAGATGTAGATTGGGGCGTCTCCCAAAGTCCATTCTCAAAAAGCTGGCCACGTGCTTCGCTGAGGCTACTTGGAATCAAATACATTTGAGATACAAGGACAGAGCCAATATTCATAACTTCAACTACCAGATGGTTCACACATACAGACAGCATCATCATAACCAGCAAACCAGAACCTTTCCATAGACACCTGTGACGCAGGAGGGAGCCGGGCGGATTGACCGGGGAATGCCGTCTAGTTTTACTAGGACTGTCTCCATGGGGGATGGGAGAGCAGGGGGTGACTTTTATTGAGGGAAGATACCTGAACATGTAATGTGAGAACCCAGGAAGGGGGTTGGGGCCAGGTGACACCTTTGCCAGGGAAACTGAACAAAGGCTGGAGGAGGAGTGGCGGGAGGGAGGTGAGACGGCTGGAGGGGTTTTCAGTTTGGAGCTGGCTGGGGAAACGGAGGGAGCCACAGGACTGGGGTCTAAGCTCCCTGCCCCCCAGGACTTGATTGAGGGATCCTGGTTGTACCTACAAGCCCTGCTTGGGACTGGGTTCCTGTCATCTAATAAACTAGGGTTACCATATTTAACAAATAAAAAAAGAGGACCCTCCACGGGGCCTGGCCCCACCCATTTCCCCACCCCCAGCCCAGCCCCAACTCTGCCCCTTCCCCACCCCCAGCCCCGCCCCAACTCTGCCCCTTCCCCACCCTAACTCCGCCCCTCCTCCCTCCCACTCCCAGCCACAAAAAAAGGGCTGCCCAAGCGCTACCGGCTTCACGGTTTGCCGGGCAGCCCCCAGACCCTGCGCCCCCAGCCGGGCTCTTCCCCTCCCGGGCTCCGGCAGCGCAGGGTCCAGAGGTATGGGGGCTGCCCGAAGCCCGTAGCGCTCGGCTCTTAAACAGAGCCGAAGAGTCTGGGAGGAGCAGAGCCGCCGCGGCCGGAGGCTCTGCTCCTCCCCTGACTCTTCAGCTCTCTTTAAGAGCCGAGCTGCCCGAGCACTACCGGCTTTGGGCAGCCCCCATACCTCCGGACCCTGCGCCGCCGGAGCCTGGGAGGGGAAGTGCCCGGCCAGCGGCTGGGGTCCGGAGGCAAGGGGGCTGCCTGAAGCCCATAGCGCTCGGGCAGCTCGGCTCTTAAACAGAGCCAAAGAGTCAGGGGAGGAGCAGAGCAGCCACGGGAGGGGAAGTGCCCGGCCGGCATTTTCCCGGACATGTTCGGCTTTTTGGCAATTCCCCCCGGACGGGGGTTTGATTGCCGAAAAGCCGGACATGTCCAGGAAAAACCGGATGTATGGTAACCCTAAATAAACCTTCCGTGTTACTGGCTGGCTGAGAGTCACCGTGAATCACAGGAAGTGGGGGTGCAGGGCCCTGACTTCCCTACACTCCGTGACAAACACCTGGCCATGCCGGGGCCGAGCGGGGTGCGGGTTGGGGGTCACTCCTCAGCTGGGGGTTCTGGGCCTTGGGGGGAGCTGGGAACTCGGCCAGTGGGCAGTGACAGGGGCTGGGCTCTCTGGGGGCTCTCTGGGCGGTTGGGGGTTGTTGATCGCTGCCCTGCCGAGAGCTGAGGGGAGGTTGTGATGCCTGCAGGGGGGAGGAGTTGGGGATCTGACCCCCGGCAAGGCCACAGAAGGCTGCTCAGGCCGGAGCAGGGGGTCGCGAGGGGCATCACAGCCTGGCACCCGGGAGGTGTCTGACGGCCCGGGGGGAGCGCGAAGGGGGAGCAGAGCGAGAGCAAAGGACCCATACGTGGCCTCCGGGGGCATGTCTGTCCAGCGATTACAGACCCACAGCCGGGCCCTGCCCCAGTGTGACAAAGGGCAGGACGAGGAACTCACAGAGCCCCAAATGGGGGGTGAAGGCAGATTTCAACCTGGCATCTGGGCCCAAAAGCACCTGCCCGTTGCCCTTGGTGAGATCCAGAGTACAGAGGTAATGAGGCTACCCCCGCCCAGCTTGTCTAGAGACTCACCAGGCCTAGGCATGGGGTAGGCATTGGACACGGTGATGGCATTAAGCTTCCGATAGTCCACACATAACCGGAGCGACCCATCTTCCTGGGGGACCAGTCCCACGGGTGAGGCCCATGGGCCGTTGAACGGCTGGATCACATCTAAAGCCAGCATGTCCTTGACCTCTCTCTCCAGGTTCTGGGCTGCTTTCCCAGTGACTCTGAACGGGGAAGATTGGCTCCCACCTCAGGGAAGAGATCCACCAGGTGGTCTTCACCCTTCTCCTCCCAATCCTCCCCTTCTGGGTCCAGGGGTCCCCTCACTCTCCTCCCATACAGCAGCTCGAAAGGGAAGAACCCTGTGGATTCCTGGGGCACCACCAGCTGCCTCCTGATTCCCCCCAGTTCTACTTCCCCTTGGGGAGCCCATTCCCGGTACAGGAATCCCTTCTCCCACAGGACTCTGTGTCACGGAGTGTGGGGGGACACAAGGCCCTGCACCCCTGGCTTCCTGCGATTCACCATGACTCTCAGCCAGCTAGTAAAGCAGAAGGTTTATTTAGAATCATAGAATATCAGGGTTGGAAGGGACCTCAGGAGGTCAAAGCAGGACCAATTCCCAACTAAATCATCCCAGCCAGGGCTTCGTCAAGCCGGGCCTAAAAACCTCTAAGGAAGGAGATTCCACCACCTCCCTAGGGAACCCATTCCAGTGCTTCACCACCCTCCTAGTGAAATAGTGTTTCCTAATATCCAACCTAGACCTCCCCCACTGCAACTTGAGACCATTGCTCCTTGTTCTGTAATCTGCCACCACTGAGAACAGCCGAGCTCCATCCTTTTGGAACCCCCCTTCAGGTAGTTGAAAGCAGCTATAAGCTCTAAGATATAACTGCATTTGCTCCAATCCCTCACATAGAGACAAGCACCCAACACTCCCCACTCAGCATTCACAGACCACATTAAGAACAGTCCCAGTTCGTCACATCTCCCCCCTTCGAGACCGAACTGAGCGGGGTCACTTCAGCCAGTGACCTGGGGAAGTTCGAACCTACCCCCGTTCCCATGGATGTCCCCGAATCCCTCCCATCCACCTCCAGGGGAACAAGGTACTCTGTCCGGAGGGACAGCCCCGCGCCGACCGTATAAACCAAAAATCCTGAGTCTGGAGCATCCAGCCCCCTAGAGGAGCTGGCCTGGAGCTCTCCTCCCTCCTTAGCAGGTGGTACTCTGCCAGCCCCCCTTCCCTGGGAATGCTGCCTCTCGTCCGGCTGGGTCTCTACCCAGTTAACCCTCTGTGGGTTCGGTCTGCTCAGTCTGTCCCTGAGCCAGAGGCACTGGGCCCTTATGTGGCCTTTTTGGCCCCAGTGATAGCAGCCCATGTCCCATGGGTCCCCTCGAGGGGGTCTGATGGACCTGACGCTGGATGTTCCCCTTTGGTGGGGGTTCTCCATATTTCCTCGCTGGGAGGTCCCATGGTGACTCTCTCTCTGCGCTGTGGCGGGCCTGTTCCTTTGGGACTCCTCCCTGTTATCCCCGGCCCGACTGTTCACAAACTCGTCGGCCAACTGGCCTGCGTGCTGCGGGTTCTCTAGCTTTTGGTCCATCAACCATCGCCTCAGGTCGGATGGGCACTGCTCATACACGTGCTCCGGTAGGACTAGGTCAAGCAGGTCCTCTATAGTTTGGGCCCCAGCTGTCCACTTGTGGGCATACCCCTGCGCCCGGTTGGCTAGTTGTAGGTATGTGACCTCACGGGTTTTACGCTGACTCCGGAACCTTTTCCGGCACATCTCAGGGGTCAGCCCAAACTCGCGGAGCAGGGC